TGTTTGATAATTCTCTGATAATTATGCGATAACATTATGCAAGATCCCGCCTTCACAGACTTTCGAGCATCATGACCGGACAACACTACAGTTGGATTTCCAGTATTAACCCACAGGACATCAAGGTAGTAAAAGGTCACGCACGGCTAGTCAGATTAAGTTTGACACAAGTATACTGTGTGTCGGAACATAGGGGTGTCGGAACATAAAGATGTCGGAACATAGGGCAGTGAGACTTTGACCATCTCTGCTTATTTAGGACACATTAAAAATACATGTAAATGTTTTCAGGGCCATAGGTCAATTCACTAGGAAAACATTACATTCGTCCCATCATTTTCAAAAATGGAAATAAACATGTGCATTTACAGCTGTTAAATCCGAGAGATTGTGGCTTAACCCATGACGCCATACCTGTGTGTGGCAACCTAGAGTAATGAACTTTTACGAGTTCTCCAATCCAATAACACTAATAAAATGTTTCAATTCTGCAAGTAAATTTCTCGACTTTACAACCATTTTTTCCACTTGCTGGCTGGCATATTACTTTTCATCAACCTTTATTGAAACAAACACACAACAAACAAACCATTTATGTGAATATGATACAATCATTATATCAGTGGAGCAAATAAACATACAACAAACAAACCATTCCTGTGAATATGATACAATCATTAAATTACAGTGGAGCAAACAAACCTACAATAGACAAATTATTTCTGTAAATATGATACAATCACTCTCCATCACAGCCTAACATCTCTGCCACACATGACTTTTCACACTATGATTTGCCACATATCAATATGCAGGTGTTGTTCGGTTATTCAAGACAGCAACCCATACCAATCTTTCTCTTCCCATACACTTTCCATAACTAAAACCTTCTTTGGTTTCAATTCCACGTAAGAATTGTATTCATTCAGAATACGTTTTAAAGCTCTCGCAAACTCCGCCATATTTAAATATAGTTCGGGTTTGACCCTACCAATGACCCTTGATTTGCATAAATGCATAATCAAGCTATGGCAGAGGTGATTTGAAGAAGCGCCTTCTTGCGTGGAGAGTGACAATTATCATATCACAATGTGGAGCAAACAAGAACTGCCATGTGCACTATGAAAGTATTTATAACCTTGATTTCCACAGAAAATACAAAATTGATCTCTAATTTTCCACACAAAAATAGTATTAAATAAGCCATTGTTAATGACACAGTCCCCGTCCAAAATTTTGTGATCTGACATATCAATTTGCTGCTGATGAAGTCATTGAGATTAGATTAAAACCATTAATAGGAGATGGATTTGTAAAAAATTATGATTTAGTGCTTTTACACGAGAATTGGACATTGGGCAGTCATCTTGAATCAAATTACAAAAATAATGTTCATGTTGATGTATCTATTGATTGGTATACTGTCTTTGTACAAAATTTAAACAGAAATGTTCATTGCATTCATGGGAAAGTAGGCATGGGTATCATGAAAAACGAAATGGCCAGCAGTCAGCCATATTAATTTGAATCACAGAAAAAATATGACATGCAACTATAACCCAATATGTATGATCATCATACCAACTTTGATTCAAATTGGCCTAGTCATCTCTGAGAAACAGCTCCGGACATGTAAAAATTACGATTTAGCACTTTTACATAAAAATTGGGCATTGGCCGGCCATATTGAATCGAATTACAAAAATAATGTTGGTGCGCATGTATCCCTTGGTATATTATCTTTGTACAAAATTTAAAGAGAAACGTTCATTTCATTCAAGAGAAAGTAGAATGTTTACCATGAAAAACAAAATGGCCGCCAGTCAGCCATATTTGTTCAAATCACGAAAAAAAAATGACGTGCATCTATAACAAACTCTCCCCATCTTTTATGTGGGATTTATACAAGGAGAAAAATGTAATGTACAATTTAAGAAATTCTCATCAATTACAGTTAAAACGACCAAGGACTAAACGCTATGGACTGGAGTCATTGTCTTATTATGGTGCTAAAATGTAGAACTCACCTCCTAATCGAATGAAGGAGTGCAAAGATTTGTATTCTTTTAAGCAAATGGTGTCATTGTGGTCACCATCATTTTAAGATATTTAATTGATTATTTGTGAAATCTTGTTTTTCTCTGTGTTTGATGTTTGTAAATTTTTGCTTTTGTTTGATGTAATTTTTAGTAGTCAGTGATATTAGCCTTTGGCTAGGTATTTCAAACTGACTTTAAATAAACGAATTCAATTGAACTGAATTGAATTGAACCCAATATGTATGATAAACATATCAACTTTGATCCAAATCGGCCTAGTCATCTCTGAGAAACTGCTGCGAACACGTTTAGGTATCAGAAATAGCAAATTTTACATACAAAATGACTGCCAGTCGGCCATTTTTGCTCCAATCATAAAGTAACTTGACGTGCATATGCGAGACATCATGTATTGTCTTCATGTGAAGTTTGAATGAAATCTGTCAATGGGTGTCCGAGATATAGCTACGGACATACAGACGTACGAACGGACATACGAATGGAACAAACCAAAATTAATAGTCCCCGTTTTTGGACTTCGTCTTTCATTTCTGTGAATATACCATTCATTTTCATATCACAAAGTGGAGCAAACAAACACAACAGATAAACCATTCCTGTGATTTTGATACAATCATTATCATATCACAAAGTGGAGCAAACAAACACACAACAGACAAACCATTCTTGTGATTATGATACAATCATTATCATATCACAAAGTGGAGCAAACAAACAACAGACAAACCATTCCTGTGAATATGATACCATTTATTTATTTTCACATCACCATGGGATAAAACCAAATACAAATATAGGAGATCTAGTGGAAGTTTTTTTTTATTTACACAGACATTTCTAAAAATAAAAAACAAGACTGATTTTTAATTCCATATTCCCTGTATTAGAGTGCATATCTATATTACACAACATAGGATTATTACGGCGCAAAAACAGTGATTCCTAGGATTAAATATTCAAATTTCTAAAACATCTGCAACTAGAAAACACAAAGCGACATCTGACATGGCTTTAAAATATCAACAATATAAAATTGCTTGCTTCCTGTAGCACCTTTCTCATAAATTTGTGTTACCCTCATTTTGCCTGGACTCTATATTACAAAACTTAGCCCAACAATTGGACACTCTTTACTGTTACAATCAATATCATAATGGTATAATCAGTTTTTTTAGTGATTACCTAAATAAAAGACTTATTGTATGTGAATAAGAACATCACCTATATGAGCCACTGAAAATTAACAATATAAGCTTTTATATTCACACACAAATCTCTCACTAATTTTTTTTTATGATTTTTGTTTTATATCTTTTTTGTGTTTGTTTATTTTTAAGAAATCTAGCTAACAAAAGAAATGTACTCTTATTTTCATTAATGGTGTGTTGACTATACATGCTGTAGTGGTCACTACAACCACAACATCCTATCATTAAATCAATAGTCAGGGGGGTAATTTGAAAACATGTTATTTATAAATATGACACAATGTAAGTGTTATCTAAATGAGGTGTGCTGTATCTGTCACAGAAATGGTGCCATTATGAGACAGATAAAGCAGCACCACATTGTAGCCATTTCAGTGTATAACAAAACCATATATGTGAGGTAGGCTGTATGCGTGAGCATAGAACCAATAAAAGTGAATGTGTAGAGCAAAGGGGTTTGTCAAGAAATCACTATTTTATTATCTGTCCTTGCGTCACAGTGCCAGTATTACACAAGTGCCTTGGTGTCACCGTGTAAGTATTACACAAGTGCCTTGGTATCACCAAGTAAGTATTACACAAGTGCCTTGGTGTCACCATGCCAGTATTACACAAGCGCCTTGGTGTCACTGTGTCAGTATTACACAAGTGCCTTGGTGTCACCAAGTAAGTATTACACAAGTGCCTTGGTGTCACCATGTAAGTATTACACAAGTGCCTTGGTGTCACCAAGTAAGTATTACACAAGTGCCTTGGTGTCACTGTGTCAGTATTACACAAGTGCCTTGGTGTCACCAAGTAAGTATTACACAAGTGCCTTGGTGTCACCATGCCAGTATTACACAAGCGCCTTGGTGTCACTGTGTCAGTATTACACAAGTGCCTTGGTGTCACCAAGTAAGTATTACACAAGTGCCTTGGTGTCACCATGCCAGTATTACACAAGCGCCTTGATGTCACAGTGCCAGTATTACACAAGTGCCTTGGTGTCACTGTGTCA